TTTGATTAGCCTTTAATAGAAATGGCAGAAGGGCCTACTGAATGGCAATATTTCTGTATGAAAAGTAAAGTAGCAGATTAAAGTGAGCAGGAAGTTTAAGATAGAAATGGAAATTTTTTAATACTAAGAACACTGAATAAGAGTATTAAATGATTTCATTAAGGACAAGGCATCAATCTTCCGTATTTGAATAAAATTTAATACTTAAGTGAAGAAAGGCACCATGTTACAAACATTGCTGAATGCCCCAAACCACCTAAACTTCTGAATATATAATTGAGTATAATAATCTAAGAGGTTAAGGGAATTAAATTAGATTCAGCATTATCAGTTTGCTTAGAAACAAAATGATCTATACTAGAAAGGTGAGAAATGTTTAAAGACAATGAATTTCACAGCTGATATTCTGTCGTCCAGAGTATCTTAGTCCCTGACTTATAAGGTGTAGAGTTGTACGGAAAAGACCTATTAGGAATTATTGTTACTAACTAATCTAGACTGTATGATAATGCAGCATGAGTTAGGCAAATAGTAAGAGTTCTTTTAAGATGTAATTTGGAAAATGGGCAAGAATCTATTGGTCTGTGACGTAAGGATTGAGTATACATAAGCCAGAAGTTTTGGTTATACTTCTAAGGCATTTGCTGTAACAATCTTGGGTGTTACCTACTTTTTAAAAATGAGCTTACATTTTAAAATATTCCATGAACATAAAAGTTTTAAAATTTATACATTTTAAAGTAATAAAACAACAGAAGTGAGAACTACAGAAAAAGGTCTCTTCAAATTCATTTTGACAAACTTCCTCATCCCTTTTCTATATAATATAAACATTTTAAAATTTTCTCCAATTTACTATATCAACCATTTCCCAAACTTATGGAGGGTGCAAAATCAAGTCAGATTTTTTTTTTTTTGGGTGTACTTATATACCAACCAAAGGGGAGACACCCTGGTTTTCTTGTTCAGCTGATTGCTCTGCTCCCTTTTCATGCTAGAAGTTCAGGAAGAAATCAGAAACTAGGATAGAACCATACTAAACTGATGAAAAGATTCCACAAAGGCAATGAGAGAATAAGCCAAGAAGGGCTTTTTTTTTTTTTTTGGTGGTACTGGGCTTTGAACTCAGGGCTTCATGCTTTCAAAGCAGGTGCTCTACCACTTGAGCCACATCTCCAGTCCAAGAAGGGCTTTCTAAGTCATAGAATCAACAGGTCAATAACCTATGCATGAAACAGATTATATAGCCAGCAACCCTACAAGTCAGAATATAAAAAATTAAAAGTTTACAAAGCTATTAAAAGTCAAGGGACATAGTTACTACCTGCCCCCATTCCCTAGCATCATCCTCATGTGGAAGTCAGATTTTGATAGGCTCCAGCACTGGAAGTAAATGAAAAATGCTTCTGAAGACCTAAAATAGCATTTGAAACAAATCTGCACTGAACTCATAATTTTATTCTCTAAATTCTTGCTTTATTACTTGATTTCCCAGCCCAGAGAAGATTAGAAATGGTAACACAGGCAGAAGGACTAAAAGCAGCAGTTATATAGACAGCTTCTAGAAGTAACAGTCTGACACTGAGGGAGAAGACAAAAACAACAGATCGAATTGTTACATCACACTAATGGATACTTATAATTAGACCCTAACTGTAAATAAAATGAAATAGTTGTCATCCTGTGTTTAATACGGCAGTAAATGTTATTTGTAAATATTTTCTTGTAAGGTGATAGAAACAATTAGCTTTGGTGCTGGAGAGAACAAACTTCTTCAATTACCTAAAAGATATATTCAGTTCTCTGAAGATACAGATCATGTTATTAACTATGCTTTACATTTTAAAATGTCATTAAATAATAATCAATGAATAAATCAAGTATTCAACTGTCTTCTAGCAAGGATTCATCATGGCATGTGCAAACCACATTTGCAGCACTGCTCTACTGCTCTGTGGAGTTGCTACTAGACAGACATGAGCATTTCCTTAACTTTCAGATTTTTAAAAAATATAGCAATACAGACTGTAACTGGATCCAAGGTTGTTGCTCAATAAATGTTTACTGAACGGCAATTAAATTCTTGTTTCATAATTTTGTAGTTTAGTAATTTACTTACTTTTGTCACTTCCTCTGCCCAAATCTAGCCAGCATTAAAAATTAGAGAAAAATATAGAGCATGAAAGAAAGTCGGAATTTAACATTTTCTACAACTTAGTATAGAAAAAAATGTAAGTATCTTAATTTAAATGGCATACTCTTTTTTTCCACAGTCATAAACAGACTGAACATACTGTTAACTAAATCAGTACAGCTTAACATTATGAAAGTATGCCTTCTTCTTAGATTGTATCAATACTATCAATTTAAATATCGTATGCAATTCTACAAATTAGTAAGAATAACAGCTTTCCCAAACTGGGAATATCTAACTTATATAGAACTTGTAGTTCTAGTTCTCTCATCTCCAAAATGAGTAGTTTGGAATAAATGATATCTAATTTCTCTTTAAAGATACAAATTCTAGAATTTTGGGAAATAAAAACAAAGCAAGGATAAATGGATACTGAATGCTGCCGAAATAACCTTTTTGAGGAAAACAGTAAATCTAAAATATAATGAATTTAAAATTAGCAGAGTTAAATATATCTTACTATAAGTGGAAAATTAGTAGTAAAATGACTACTTAATAAATCAGGAAAAACCCTACTAGTTGTTTGGACATTTTTATCTGAGACAAAAGAAAACCTATGATTTATATACTGATTAATAGTGACTGAAATATTCTCACGCTTTTCATTTACCTATAGATAGGACAATGGAAATAAGTGAATGCATTCTCTTGCTATTTTAGGAAAGCCTAGTTCAGCCAGGGCTTCAACAATTAGAGTTAAAAAAAATACAAAAAGCAAAAGACATGCTTTTTTTTTTTTAAACTTGCTTTTAGTTCAGTGCTAATGGAATAAAAGCAATCAATTAGTTAGCAATCACCAATTTATTATTAACTGTACTACAGAGCTCTTGCCACTTCTAATGGCAGTAATGTACTGACCAGTTTATATTGGCTAACACATATGAATTGTTTGTCTATGCTTGTATTTCACAACTTCCTATTTCATTAAAATTAAAAAACTTCTAATATCTCAAAAATTTCCTCAAGTTGAACTCAGTATGTACATGGGATATTATAAACAGTTTCCATTCTTTGTTCTTGTCCCAGGCTATCACCATTCTGAAATTTTAAGTGAGTTAGCACTGGAATGGACCTGGCCACTATAGGCCCTGTGCACCTGCACTCCTGGAGTTTCTTAGCCTGGGATGGCAGAAGAAAATAATTCTATGTTGAGTTTGTGTAGCAATAAGGTAAAAGGGAAGCTACAGAGAAGCAAGATCAATTTGTACATCTTTACCTTTCTACAAGTAAAGTAAATCTTGTTAATTTTCACTGCCAAAAGTGAAAATATGAAGTGCCAAATTAAATTGGCATCTCTTACTGGATGTAAAAAGGCATTACATATGTATGATTCTAAAATCTGTATTTGGCATAATCAGTATATTTGGCATTAGAACATACAGTGGCTTTTGTTCAACCTAGTATGTTTTCCTAGACATAATGAATGCACGGCTTCAGTGCAGTTAACAGCAAGAGAAGGCACTTTATTCAAGATGTAGAAAACACAGTAGGCCAACAAACCTTCAGCCATTTTACATGCAGGAAGTTGAGCATGTAAGAGAAATTTACCATAATGTTATCTCCTTCAAGGCGAGCTGAGTTTAGTTGCTTTAAGTGCATAGGTAAGAGACAAAGAACAATTATACCAATGAACACAGTGAAACAAATTACTTCTGCACAATACAGCACACACTAAACAAGTAATAAAAGAGCTGATAAAATGTTTTTCTTTTTTTTTGTTTGTTTTATTATTCATATGTGCATACAACGCTTGGGTCATTTCTCCCTAAAATGTTTTTCTATTTAAAAAATCCAACTATATTTATTGTTCTATCAAATTTTATATGGTGTTGTCTATTAGTTTTTCTAAAAGATTAGAGTTGACAATTTTAAGTTTGTCTCTTTTAGGGAAAACACATCACTTTAAAAATTGTCAATTCGTTAAAACTATTAAATTTTCACCTAAGCCCTTTTGCCTACACACCATTTTCCTACTATTTTATGAATTCATGATGCCTTCAACAACCATGTTCTCTTTTAATCAGCCTCAGTCAGGTCTTGCCATACCCTGAAGACATATGAAAGGAACATCAATCCTTGTATTTCTAATAAACTTTAGATTCAAACATGTACATAAAAAGTTAAGGTTACAACTGGTGCTATAAATTTATAGGTTAAAGATTTAGACTGCTGTGGAAATACTTAAGCATGTACAGGGAATATGTGCTAGATCAGGAATCAGAAGGAGTATTTTCCATGAAATTTGGATGCCCCAAAATAACTTAGGTCTAGACCTCTAAACACTGGAGAACTTTGAACTGGCTGTTTTTTTTCTTCTGATTAATAAAACTAAAATAATTTTGAAGAGTTTATATTAAATTAAGATTAGGTTAATAAACATAGGAACCTTACAATTCAAATGTAACATCCATCCATCCATCTATCTATCGTGGTGTTGGGGATTAAACCCAGGGCCTCAGGACTATTAACAAGCACTATCCCACGAGCCATATCCCCAGCCCAAGTTTCATCAGTTTAAACTATTTTTAAAACTATATTTTATACACTGTGAAACATTACAGTAAGTTCTCTCTTTTTTGCTAAACTAGTATATTTTGAGAAATGCTTTTGATGTTGCATTACCATTCTTTGATATGGTAAAAAGTAAAACATTAAGTTAGTAGAATAGCAATATTGAATACAGGCAGTTTTTTTTTTTACTGATGGGACTAAATTATCAAAGTTTAATTTAGGACTGGGCACAGTGGCTCAAACTGTAATCCCAGCTATTGGGGAGGTAGAGATCAGGAAGATCTTGATTTAAGGCCAGCTCAGGCAAAAAAGCTAGCAAAAGTCCATCTCATCAAATAGGCCAAACATGGTGATGTGTACCTATAATCTAGGCTACTCCAGAGGCATAGGAACATGGTATGAGCCTGGCCTGGGTCAAAAATGTGAGACCCTATCTGAAAAAATAACTCAATCAAACAGGGCTGGTAGAGTACCTCAAGTGGCAGAGTGCCTGCCTAGCAAGCATGCAGCCCTGAGTTCAAACTTCAGTACCACCATTATGAAATAAAAAAATAAAAAAAAGGGGAGGCTTAATCTACATGTGGACTGAGGTGTGGAGATTTTAAATTATTTGTCTATGAACTCCTCAACAATGTGTTTCACAAAACTAACATTCAATAAATATAGAATTTAAAAAGAGGACCAGGAAACTAACTAGTAAGTGAATTAAAAAAAAAAAAAGTGGTGATATGCACCAAACCTCACTAGCACAGTAATAACTAGTCACAAAACAATTCATGTAAAATTGCAAAGCAGTGAATGAAGTCTGGAGTTAGATTAATGTCTTCAGTTGTCAACTAGGATCCAAGAAATGTGTCAAAAAAGGAAAACGTAAACCTCAACTCCCAGGGTTTTCTATCATTCTACATTGTTTAAATACAGAGGAAAACAAAACAATGACCAAATACAGCATGTCTTAAGCGTTTATGTAATAATAAAATATGAAGACTTTTCTTATCAAAGTAATTACTACTATAATGTTGAAGAAAAGTAAGTTGATTACCTAGGAAAAAGAAAAACTTAAGCCTAAGAATGTGAATTTTTGTCTAAACTATTATCTTTAATATTTGGCTATAGATAAATTTTGTATTATATAAGTCAAAATTTCAGAAAAGTTGTGTATAAATGAAATTGCTAAATTATGTCACCTGTATCTCCTTTCATTTTAATTTTCAACACAAATTTCCATAGGAAAAATTTTGTCTGCAAAAATAGACAGCACAGAAAAAGTGCCAACATCTTTCCTAAAGGCATCAAAGGAAATCATCTCTCAAAATTTGTCTACTACTATAATATCTGATTCTTATATATATTAACAATAGTGGTAAAATAGGTTAGAATAACCAAAGGACTTTGTATACTGTTAAATCTATGCACTTCCTGACACTTTACCAAGTTAAAAAGGCAGACAATCCTTACCCTATAATGCATGTTACACAAATTTTTGGATTGAAACTTAACAACACTATTCTTATTCCACAATCTTCACTGGGCACATTCAGGCATAAAAAGATTCTGGTTTAGTTCAAACATTTCCTAATGACCCTTGCTTAATTTTTCCTCTGATTATAAAATTAGTATCCTAAAAATAATTCATATTTGACTATACAAATTAATTATTAACAAATAGAAAATAATAAATTAATTTAGAGTGTTTTGCCATCTACAGTATTCTTTATTTTTCTGGTAGTACTGGGGATTGAACCCAGGTCCTTGAGCAAGCCAGGAAAGCATTTGACCACTTGAGCCAGGCTGCAAGCCCTATAGCATTCATTTTTAAAGTTTAATTCTGCAAATAGTCTGTTTAGGGATGTTAAATATTTTGTGGCGATGATGTCATGAAAGTGAATTTGAAATTCATAACTTATCAAAGATTGTTCTTCTCTAGTGGTAGCTAATACCAAATCTCCAAAAGGGAAATCCTACAGGCAAAAACATATCCTGCTAGTAAATGGTATTATGGTATTCTCCTAAGTTATCATTATCTAACACTCATTTCACTATAAATTCTCAATTTTTCTTCCCCAAAGGAAGAGAATTCTAAGATTACTACCAGCACTGTAGTAATATGCTCATTAAGGCAATGATGTGTGACAATGGTAGGAGTTAGAAATGGGCAGTATCATACCTTTTAACAAAATGTATTCCTTTGCTCTAATTAACAATTTGTTAGCTTCTTGGGCTGGAGGTGTGGCTCAAGTGGTAGTGCACCTGCCTAGTATAAGGTCCTGAGTTCAAACCCTGTACCAACAAAGAACCATCCCTCCCCACCTACCCCAAAAAACCCCTAATACTTGTTTATATGATAGCACCTTAAAAGTGTTCCAATTCACAACAGATTAATCTTTTGAAACTTTAGAATAGAAATATAGATAGTATAACCACTAGGTTACCTAAAAAGTTTGTAAATAAAATCTTAAGAAAGTTATATATAAAAATCATTGAACCATTACATTTGATATGTAATTGTTGAATTAAAAATTATTGAGATTGATTTTTGAAAAATATACCAGAACTTATTTATCCAAATGGACTTCTTCCCTTTTAAAACTGCTACCTTGAAGTCTAAGCCACTTTTTGAATCCTTTTGAAACTATTCTTGGTGACAATTCCTGTAGTCAGTTTGAGTCAGATGTGGAAAGAGAATTCACTTAATTTTTAAGCCATATTCATGTGTTCTCAAACTTGATTTATTCTCATCTTAATTAAAATCTGCCATTTTCCAAAATAATAAACCTATCTCCAAAAGATGTATTTTCCATAACAACTGAGGATACTTAAAAAGCATTCCAAAGCTTTAGGAGGTATTGGAGTTTTTTCTTTTTTTGGGGGGCAGTACTGGGGGTTGAGCTTAGGGTGTTGCACTTGCTAGGCGGGTGCTGTACCACTTGAGCCACTCTGCCACCCTGTAACTTTTGTTTTTAAGCAATAGCTGTAATGGTGAATGATGTTTCTTGATAAGCCTGCTTTGCACTGACTTAGATGTATTAAGTTCTGATAAATTTGTTAAAAAACACAAAAATAAGACCTTAAAGTCATATTCTATTCTTAAGGATAGTCTACATCTTATATGGTATATTAATGAAATATTTTACAAATTTTAAAGCAATAAACCTAAATGTTTTTCTGTTAAAAAAAAACAAACAATACTACTTACTGAGCTTCTAGTTTCTGCAGCTTTTGCCTTTTTTAGTCTGGTTTTTGCAGCATCCAAATCCAGTCTCTTATTTTGTAATAGTTTCCTTTCTTTCTATAAATATAGAAAAGAAAAAAATATAGGTCTAAGATGCTAAAATCCAAAAAGAACATATACATTTTAAGATATTACTTTCCATTAAATACACGTATCATCTGATAAAGACCTATGACTATAAAATTAGCTACAAAGTAACCAGGCAGGTAGGTAGGTCTCTTTCTCTCTCTCTTACTTATTTAAAAATGATCTAGACATTCCAGATGTCTAAGGAATCTGGGAAAGATGGCATAGAAACAAAGGAATATTAGTTTAAATGCTTTACCCGTTTATTCCCCTCTTTCCCCATGGAACACGTGGCAGTACCTTGTTTTTTTGGTTGTCACAATTGAGGGGGTGTTACTGGTGTGTCCTAAGTAGAAGCCAGGATGCTACTGAGCATCTTACAATGCAGTACGGCTCCCACAAAAAAGAATTATTTGGCCCATAATGTCAGTAGTGATCAAGTTGATAAATCCTGTTTTAAACTGTTATGGACTGTCCAGAAAGTACCCATTGTGAAGGAAACATGAACCTAGGGCAAGGTTCTTTGATGTCCTATGTGACTGACCTCAGGAACTGGGCAAGCTGTTCTTACTGTGTCATAGCAGCAAATGCCACTCAACTCCAAAACAGAATTTCAAATTTACAGAATGAATAATGAACAAACGCTGAGTATCTCAGAATTCCTCGTAGTAACTTCAAGTTTCTGTATAGGCCAGTTTATTTTAAATAAGTCTGTCTTATTAATTCTTAGATTCCATATACCAAATTTAATTCTACAGACAATCTAATATCTTTAAATAATATTCCAACTTATCGGTTCTTCTGTGTCAGGTCAAATACTTGTTTATACAGAAACAAATCCATGGCATATACACTGAAGGCTTCTTATTTTGTAACAAGATGCAGATTAAAGTCTAAAGCTACATTTACAATAAAGAGCAGCCTTAGCAAAAATCATAAAGAAAAAACTCAACAGAGAATGAGTCACAATCAGATAACAAGGGAAGGTAAGTCTCTAAAGTAAAGTTGGGATGTGAGTGAGCCTGAACTGGTGGGCTTCCTCCTTCTTGCATTTTTGTTCCACCTGGCCCCCTAGCCTATAGGACAGTGCTGCCCACATTCAAGGTGGGTCTTCTTCCCTTAGTTGCTACACCACATGCAGATCTTCATTCTCCATCACTAGCAAAACAAGTTAAACTAAAAAGATAGAGTAATAGATTATGTTTAGAAAGAAAACGTTTATTTTTTATACTTCACCGATAAAAAACAGCATTATAAAAAAAATACACTTTTAGGATGCCAAAGGAGATGCAAGCATAATAGCAGAAATAACCCTCCAATAACTAGGCTTCTAGCTCCAGTTAGAAATAGATATAATTATACCATAGTGATACACTGTATTTTCATGATTATCACAGGAAGTTTACTATAGATTTCAGTGTTGGTAATGAATGAGATGAATATAAAGGCATCTTAACATTATATGACACACAATTGGGGTTCATGTTAGTAACAGTTCATTATTTTGGTTTAGTTTTGTGTTCTGGTGAACACTGATAATATTTAAGCATTCTAATCTGCTACATTTATAATCATTAAAAGTGAAAATTATTCATTAAAAACTGTAAGCATATATTTAAGTTACTTTACTAAAAAAAGGAAACACTTCCCAACTTACTGCAATTGTTTTGTAATCTCCTTCTATAAAGTTTCTTAAAGGAGTGAGAAAATTTAAGGCTGATGTTTGAATCAGCTCTCTGTCAGCTGTTCCAATTCGTTTTTGTGTTTCTCCACATTTAATAAGGGCATTACCTGCAAAGGAAAAAAAAGTTGTTGTTTTTTTTAAACTAGTGTCTGGCAATGTTAGAAGATTAAAAAAATCACACAAAGATAATTCACCTATCTGATCTGCTTATAGGTTAGTTGCCACTTGTTTACCTCTGTAAAAAGCAAATAGAATTACCTATAAGGTAGATTTGAAAGTAAATTTAAGATAAATAGCTAAATGAAAAAGACAAAGATGGACTCCCTATCACATCATAGTTAACTGCACAAATTCTACTAATGGGATTAAAGAGGACAGATATACCAAAAAATATTTATGGTCACAGCTCAAATAGTACAGTTATGCTTAGAAAAACACAAAGCTGGGCTTCAGATGTCTATCAATGGTAGACTGCTTTATACTTAAGAAAAACTCATGTTCTACAACACTTTTACCCCAATATTTAAACAGAACAAGTACAGTAATAAAGGAAATTTAGAATGCAGAGTCAAAGAAAGGGAACCCCAAGATCAGGGTTCTACTCCCAGTTTTACCTCTAATTAGCTTTAGCTCTGTAGATCTTAATCCCTTCATGCTATAACAAGATTAGATCTGATTGGTAAGGAAAGTAACATAGCATAGGAGTTAAGAGTTCTGTCTCTGGATATACACAGATCTGCATTTAAATTACTTTTTGCACGATCACAGATTAATTAGTTAACCTCTCCAAGACTGAGTTTCCTTGACTTTAAAATGGAGATACTTTTTATGTTAAAAGTAGAATACAGCCTTGGGCACACCTATGATCCCAGCATCTGGAGGCAGGAGGATCTTGAGTTCAAGGTCAGCCTGAGCCACATGTGAGATCCCATCTCAAAAAGCTAAAAAGATGTCAGGACTTACAGACATAATGCATATACTGTGTAGTGCTTATAGTGCTTAGCCCAATGCCTGGTATACCTTTTATTTATTTATTTTTTTTAAACCTGTTACCATTTACTCATAATAGGTTCTCAAAGCCCAATTCCAACAATCGGGATACATTTACTGGAATTTTGAGGTGCAAACAGATTAAGCAGATCAAAAAAGGAAGAGAATCTAAACCTCTAATGTTTATGCTTTAGCAGACCTTTAACTTGGTATAGAAAAAAGCTGATTCTGCTTCATGTACCTTTATGAACAGAGCAGAAGCAACCAACAAAACATGTTTAGTGTATAAAGTTTTTCTAAAAATTAAATTAAAATTTAGAAATAATTTCAAATTTAAAGCATTTTCAAACCTCTGAAAGTTTTTGGAGAATACAATGTAAATATTTTAATGCTGTATATCTAAAAATCCATTCAGTGGATTAATGGCATTATGTAGTATTTACATTCTTTTTGATATAAAACTTTAATTTCATATAATTCAAGAATTTAAGAGCTATTTCATAAATCAGAACTATCTGGACATTTATTTAATCTATGCATTCATTTTATATTCAAATAAGGATGAGTTTTCTCATAGTAGTCTTTTTTTTGTGTGTGTGAGACTGGGGTTTGAACTGGCTTCACACGTGCAAAGCAGGCACTCTACCACTTGAGCCATATCTCCAGTCCATTTTACTCTAGAAAATGAGGCCTAGAGAACCATTTGCCTGGGCTGGCCTTGAATCCAGATCCTCCAGATCTCAGTTTCCCCCAGAAGCTAGGATTACATGAATGAGACACCAGTGCCCGGCTCTTGTAGTCATCTTAATAAAGAGAATTAGTATCCACAGAAATCAGCAATAGCCTTATGTTATTAGAAAATTAGATCTGAGTAATAAAAAAATATATAATTTGAGCTTCAGAGTTGTATATTTAAAAAGTCAATATAGTATCTAACAAAGCTGGCCTCACTGTAAAACAGTTATAGAAAATATGAAATGTAATATAATCCAAACATCCAGAGTTATTAACTGTTAACATTTTGGGGTACTGACTACTGCAAAATTTAAACAAAGGCCCTAGTGATCTGGTCAAATATTTACTATGTGTGAAGTACCTTTAATAGGAAGTGAGTAAGCATTGAAGAAAGCATCAAAAGCTGGGGGCATGACTCAAATGGTAGTGACTGCCTAGCAAGCATTAGGCCCTGAGTTCAAACTCCAGAATTGCAAAAATAAATAAGTAAATAAACAAAGTTAGAAATCAAATAGAGGAGACATGTAAATAACTGTAATAATAAATACTACAACAGAGGCATTAGAAGATTAATGGGAGTACAAATGAAGTGATTCATTTAACTTTTTAGAACTAAGAAAGATATGAATTCTCTGATTAAATATGTACTTAAGTATATTAATATTAAATTGAATTTTACTTGTCACCTAGATTTTTCATTTTATCCAAATTTTAACATAATAAACTTAAAGCTAAACCCGATTCTATTATAGGCTAATGATATCTCTAAGTAACAAAATATCTAAATGTAAAGATATTTCTTTTTAGAATCTTTTGGTTCTCACTTACCATAAGCTGTTCCTGGGCCAAACTCTGTCCCAGCATCAATCATATATTGTCCCAAAAGTTCTGGGTTGTTTACACGACTTGGTGCTTTTCTATCCAGTTTCTCATAAACAAATTCTTCTATCCTGGCATCTAGGAGAAAGGTTAAAATTACCAGTGATTTCAAAAGAGTCAGGTGTGGGCATCATGCCTGTAATTCCAGCACTTGGGAGACGGGAGGCAAGAGGACCTATCTCAAAAAAAAAAAAAAAAAAAAACCAAACTGAAACGAAAACAAAAAAAACCCCTCCAAAACAAAACAGAACCAAAAAATCTGCCCCCAGACCAAATAAAAAAACTTCCCAATAATTTCAAAATATCAAAACTTTAAGTGATTTTTTTACCCTAATGGCCATTTACTGTTAAATATGAAATTATCATCAATTCATATATAATTTATACATAATTTGTATGTTAGTGTATTATATAGAATTAAGAAACTTAATTTTGGTACAGAAACATTGATTATTTGGCATTTTAATTTTCAGAAGAGGATTTGCTTTTAAATTCTGAACATATACTCATAATTTCAAAATCAGAGATCTTCAGCTAGGACAATATAAATTATCTAAAAGAAACAAAGAGTTACATCTGATACTGTTAGCATGAGCATGTATTTGCTCTCTCTTGCAGAATCTAAATATAGACAGAAGAGCTTAAGGAACAGAACAATCCAGGCTTGGAATAGTATACAGACATATCAGCAGTATGAAGTCTTGGCTTTAGTTATGTTTAAAGTGCACAGGGGATATCTCTGAGCATACACTCATTTAAAAGATTTCACCATTAAAAATATGTTTAAAATACAAGACAAAAGAGTAAAAGCAGCAACAGAAACATTAAAATTAATGGAAAGGGAAAAAAATAGTAAAAACTGAGTAAATTCTTGGGTAGGGTAATATTTAAGAACAAAGATATTCACATTTATATTGCTGCCTAATATTTCAGGGACAAATAAGAAAATGGATGAAGTTTGCAGAAACAATGGATAAGTGTAAATTAAAATTACAATCTGAAAATTAGCTAAGGTCAAATAGGTTCCTTCTAAGCACCTCACATAGATTAGTGTACTATGTAATAAGAAGTGTCAGATAGTATACTGAAAATTTTAAAAACACGCTGAACCAGTAACAGTAATGCTTCAGGAGTCTGTAAAAGGGTTATTTATAATAAATAAAAGGTTAAGTTATAATACATTAAGTATATATATTACAGTAAGTGTGCCTTATTTGTGGATTTATTACAATGGTTTTAACCAAGTAGAGTCAAAAACTTTTTAAAATCAAAAGAAATTTCAAGACAAAATTTTTTGCCAGGCATTAGTAGCTCACACCTGTAATTCTAGCTACTCAGTAGGCAGAGATCAGGAGGATCATGGTTCGAAGCCAACCCTGGGCAAATCGTTTGAGACCCTATCTTGAAAAAAACCTACCACAAAAACAGAAAGGGCTGGTGGAGTGGCTGTAGCAGTAAGAGTGCCTGCCCGGCAAATGTGAGGCCAAGTTCAAACCCCAGTGCCGCCAAAAAAAAAAAAAATTTAAATTTCTGTGTGTGCATCATGTACTTTAGTTGATGTAGGGAAGCTCTCAGACGGTCCTGTTATTCTCAGCTGTGTTTAAATATCATTGTTTCCTTGGTCTTAATTTTGTGAAAATGTCTTCCAAAAAGCAAATGGTACCCATAAACCAAGGTAAAAGTTAATGTGTTTACCTGATAAAGTGAAATTTTAGATTTGTTAAAAGACAGAAGTTGGGTGTTCTTAAGAGAAAAATGGAATCAAGTACCTTCGGTAGAGTACTGAACTCTATGCTTTCTGAGCATTCATGGTTTTTCCTCAAGGGTTGTCTTCTTGGAACCATATACCTGTTACCAGGGGTCTACTGTATAGGATGCTGGAATAATACTTGCTTTTATGGAAGATTCTGATGCAAAATAATGACTTTTTAAAGCAGAATTAAAAAACTTTAATAAAAACCATAATGAGTCATTTTGAAACATAATCATTTAGGAAATGGTACCTACGTTACAGAATTTCATTTTCTGATTGTGATTCTTAGCTTTGACTGCTGTTTACCTATCTGGTCAAAAGTTTAAAGACAAATGCTACTTTGATTTGATTCAGTTAATAAAATATGTGATATATTAATAAACAACTGCTTCATTTCAAAATGTCATCCAATATAGTGATAAAATCTTAACAAAATATGCAGGCAATTAAAATACATGTATTTCTACATAGCGTTTTTGAAAACAATTCTAGTTTATGGAAAATTAAACATTAATAATAACTGGGCTTACAGGGGGTTAAAAAAAGTTTGAATATGACCACTCAAAATACCTCCAACTTTATAACCAGAGCATAAACAAAAACCAAAACAAAATAAAACCCCAAACTATTACTACTTGTTGACACACAATGGAAATGGGGGAAGTGTGGACAACTGTATTTCATTTCCTATTTGGCAGTCATTATGAGCTTATATGCCATTCAGAAAAACACTGTAGGACAGGCTGTGTTCTATACATGTGGAGACCTATATGTCTTTTATGTGGTACCTATGGATACAAAAAGGAGCAAGAGGAAAAATGCTGATTTTTAAAAGTGTCATGGCACACAAATTTAAACGGCCTTAAACAAGAAACATCACATGGCGACCCTGGATGACAATAGGTTCCACTCAAGGGGTAGAGGCTTTTTTAAAAGGTCACTTTAACTAAAATGGCAGAGAATTGCTATTATTTTATAATGCCTGAAGTTTAAGTCAGTATCTAAAAATAAATTTACAACACTTTACAACATAAGTCACAATAGCATTGAGGAAAAGGAAAAAAAAAAAAATCAAGCATTGTTACCTTTGTACTTCAGTTTTGATTTTTAAAGCTTATAGTGAAAAGACTAGATGTCAATATATCTGGTTCTGGTCCAAATTCTACCTCTAATTAGCTATGCTGTACTGGATTAGAGGCTAACTTGTGAGCTTCATTCAATAATTAATCAATGTACACCTTATTTACAAGGTTATTGACTTGAGTATCTAAAAACCTCACAGTTGTCTGAAAATCAAATAGGATAATTTACATGAAAATGTAAAACTTAAACTTAAAAATTAGCATTCTACAGAGGCCTGAATAATGTTATTTGTTAATCTGTTAGAGGGTAAACAAACGTTTTATCATCTCTTCATCACAGCACCCAAAATAAACATAAACCCAAAGCCCCAAAAATTCTGTTTTCAACATTAAAAACCCCATTATTCAAAAGGTAAAAAGTTTCTTACTTGGATTTGGCTGCAATAACACTTCAGTTTGTTTCATTATTTTTTCTGTCCATATTTTAGTACATTCAGCTTTGCTAAGAAGATTCTCCAAGTGAGCATCCAATTCTGTCTTCTCTGCCTGGCCAAGCTTTTCTTCTGTGAACTGTGATTATTTAAAAAAAAAAAAATAGATACACATATATCACATAAATGTTAGGAAACTATATCAATAAGTAAAAATCCTAAACATACAAACAATCTTAAACATAGAAATCCTAAACATACAAACAATCTTAAACATAGAAATCCTAAACATACAAACAATCTTAAACATAGAAATCCTAAACATACAAATAGTGTTCCAGGTTTGTTTGTAAGCCATTGCTTATTGATATTTTTGTCCTTAGGGTAATTTATTCATACCTCTTCTGTAGCATTTATAATTATCTTATAGTTATCATGTATACTTAGATCTACTAAAATTTATGACGTGAATTTTGTAGAAAAAACAGAGCACACTGCTAAGTATATAAATCTTTCTGATATATAGGTATGATGGCATAAAGGTAAAGACTAAGAGCCTTAAGTCAGTTGTATATGAATTAAAATCCTAACTGCATGGCTAACTATGACCCAGCAAGTTTTTACTTTTTCTTTTTGGTGATACTGGGGTTTGAACTCAGGGTCTTGTACTTGTTAGGCAGGTGATCTACCACTTGAGCCATGCCCCCAGCTCTCTGAGCAAGATTTGAATATTTTTTCTTTAGTATTTTCTATGGTAAAAGAGTTTTTTTTTTTTTTTCCCTTTTTGAGACAAGGTTTCGCTGTCAGAGAGAAAACTTGCCCTGAATCCTAACTTGTATCAGATAAACTCTGCATATTTCTTTAATCACTGTTATAAACATTTTTTAGTAATTTCTAGAAGGAACCCTTCAGTCTAGTGTTTCTAAAATATCTGGTGGACAAAGTTTAACATTTTATACACTAGAAAAACTGCCTTGGTCTCCCAGCTAATAAATATCTCAGTGTTTTGAGGATTAAATAAGACTACATATGTAAATCACTCTGTTCAGAGTCTAGAAATTATAATTTCAAATTTAAAAGGGTTCTTTATTGTGAATTATATCTTACTGACACTTTAATCACCTCCAAGTTAGACGGGTTTTTATGGGATGTTCTGGAAAAATATCATTTGTTACTTTAGGGTATGTTCTAGCAATTCATCTATAGGCCATCTTTTGGTACATATACTGTTCACACTGTGGATGTATACATAAAATGTATTGAGCATATTCAACACACCTATTTTTATTACACTGAGTGTTTGTGTTTGAGGAAAGGTAGCATTGCCTATATAATAATAAACAGACTTTTGATCTTATAGTCTTTTGAATACTTTTATAATTGAACTCTAGAGGTGATGAGTCAGACTATTTATCATGTATAATTTTCCTCTATAATACATGGTTTTACTCCATCTCAATGCAGGCATATTACTGGCACTAATTCTATGCTCAATAATGACTCATTTTTAACTAACAAAACAAGGTTTGCCTTGCCTTTCCTGCCTTCTCATTTCTTAAAATCTCTTTTGTTACTCTATTTTCTGAGTTTATCTGTTTCTTTGAGCATTCTTCTCTTTGACCTAATAATTTCAATTGATTATTAGTACTTTTAGCTGAAGGGCCCTCTAGAATTTTATTCTTAGACTACTGCTTACGACTCCCTATGAAGGTCATGGTCAGGGTTAGAAAAAGCAGCTTTTTTAAAACCTTAGAGGTCTTTTAGAGACTGACCCAATGTGTGGAATTGAGAATAACAGTTTCAAAGCTACTGCCTAAGCCCAAAAAACTTGCAGTGTACTGTTTACTAAGAATCGAAAACGGGACAAAAGCAAATACTGCTCCCAAGGAGAACTGGAAAAAGTATGTCATTCTTAGGACAAAGCCTGGTATTCTTTATAGATTCCTAAAGATTCTTAGCAGTAGACCTCTTACAGAGGTATAGATTAGAATTTTACATGCCAAAAATTTACCACCACTGATTAGATAGAATAGCTCCTAGATAAAGCACGGTTTACTATTGAGCCACTACCTTCCCCATCTAGAGACAAGAAAACACACCAGAGCTCACCCACCACCCAGTTCTGTATAATTTTTCATAAAACCCCAGCTAAAGGGGCACAGGGGATTGAAACATCCAACCAAAAATGATCCTGGATGCGTAAATCACAATGCCAAAACAGGAAACAACAAGGCAACAGCTTTCCCTTAAAAGCCAACTTCACCACAAAGGATCCAGAGAAGAGGAAGAAATATCAAATATAGAATTACAAAAAAAACTAAGAATGATCAATAAGGTCAAAGGGGAGATACATAAGCTAGTGACTGAACTCAAAGAGGATATGAATAAACAACTAAAAGAGCTCAAAGAGAATTCAAATAAATAGATGAATGAAATGAAGACCATGCTGGATATGAAAGAGGAAATCAATAAAGATTAGAAATCCTGAAAACTAACCAATTTGAAATGAACAGCTCAATATCTTAAATAACAGCCTCAATTGAAAGCTTGGCTAACAGAGTGAAGCAAGTTGAAAATAAAGTATCAGGAACAGAAGACAAAGTAGAGGAATTAGATCAAACAATCAAATACCATAAAAAATGCTAAGAAAATATGAGTAGAACATGCAAGACATCTGAGACACCATCAAAAATCATTGGTATAGAAGAAGAGATACAAACTAAGGTATAGATAATTTAATAATATATTAACTGAACTTCCCCAGCCCTGAGTAAAGGAGGGATTATCCATGTATACGAGGATTACAGAACACCAAATCATCAGGACCAGGAAAGAAATACCTCAGACATGTCATAATTAAAACATTTAATGCACAGAAGAAAGAAAGAACACTGAAAGCTATAAGAGAGAAAAGACAGATCACATATAAAGGCAAACCTATTAGAATAAAGGCAGATCTCTCAACACAAACTCTAAACATAAGAAGGTCATGAAATGATATTATTTCAGGCCCTGAAAAAAAAAATGACAATCTAGATTAGTCTATTCAGCAAAACTGTCCTTCCTTATTGATGGGGAAATGAAAACCTATAACAAAGAAAAACTAAAGGAGTCCACGACTACCAAACCAGCACTGCAGAAAATACTTAAAGGACTCCTACACACAGAAGAAGAAATTACAGTCAGCCAGGAAAACACAATAAAGAATACATCTCTTTGACCAGGCAGTCTAACAAACATGAACTAGGGGAAAAGTTAAGTATCAAGGAAATAAAAATGACTGGAAACACCACACACCTCTCAATACTAACACTGAAAGTTAATGGCCTCAATGCCCCAATTGAAAGAAACAAAATAGCAAATTGGACTAAAAAACAATGCCCAACCATTATGGTTTACAAGAAACACATCTCACTGAGTAAAACAAACACTGACTTAAGAGTAAAAGGGTGGAAAAAGATTTTCCAAGCAAATGGACCCCCAAAACAGGCAGGAGTAGCTATATAATATTGAAATAAATTACATCTGTACAGGTAGAAGATACAACAATATACATTGAAAGCTGTTGAATAATGGGGGATGGGAGGGAAAGGTTAAGGGAGAGTTATGGAAAGGGTTGAACTAGTCAAAGTAAAATATGCTCCCAGAGGGATATTGAGAAACCCCTTTGAATACTGACTTTGGAATTAATAATGAAAGACAGGAGTATAAAATAGGTACAGTGTGTGGGCTGGGGTACTTGTGGGAAGGGTGAATGAAGGAGATGAAGGGGAGGGAATATGGTTGGTGGGCTTCATATACATATACAAAAAAGAATAAAACCTCTCGGAATTGCTTTAAGTGGGGCAAGGAGAGGGCTGTGGGGGAGATGGTGGGGGCAATCTAATCAAGATAAGCCTATTGAGAATTGTCACAATAAATCCCCCTGTACAAAAAAAATCCTAAAAATATGAAAAAACAACAAAATAGTACATTTAATATATATTTTTTTCTCTAAAACATTTAAAAATGTATCTACTGCAGAAGAATATGGGTTATTTCAACTAAATGATGGAAATTTAAATTACTAATAAAAATATTTGTGGGGTACATATATTTTCTTCTACTGCAAGATGAATATGGTTCTTGTCCTCAAGGATTTTATATCTAGCTGGGATAATAATACTGTCTTAACACAAACATAAAATTATAATAATGGTATTCTTTCTAGAAAGACAAAAGGCTTTTTCTTTTTTAAAAGATATTTCTTAGTTATTGAAAGTTTAAAAATTAACCCACAAAAATTTTTCGTTTTCAACATTTTCAAGTCCAAATCATTACTGACTTTGTAGTCACTTGGTAATAGATGTTAACCAGAGACCACAGTTGATTCTGAGTATATATTTTAATGAATGGATACTAGTACAGTTTAATAATTAAGAACTTTGGTGAAAACAACCTACAAAAAAAGAATGTAAGTAAGTTGTAGAAATCTAAGTCCAATGTTCTCTAAAATGTAATTTGATGCACAAATTTCCATACTATTTCATTTGTATGGCATGAGAACAGAATGTTTAACCCTTAAGTATTTTTCCTAAACATTGCTTTAAAAAGGGATTGTCCTTGAGTTGGCTGCATTGTATCAGGCACTGTAATTCTTCTTTGACGACAAGATAGGTATATAGCCTATGATATGAAATAATGAGCCTGGATACCATACTGCTTTAAAAGAAAGAAAAAAAGGACAATTTGTAAAAGGGCTGTGCAAACAAAGGCATCTATTTAATATAAATTCTGACCACCCATTCTTTAAGTAGGTAAGAGTAATACTCTAAGAGTAATCTAAACTTCTTGGAAGAAAATATATAACAATGAATATAATGTATTAATAAATTTTAAAGTACATCTTCTACTGTTCTCAATTTTCGCTGCTTATTAGCATCATTTGGGGAGTTCAAAAATAATACTGACTGACAAACCTCTAAGATGTTAATTTCACTGCTCTGGGGTGCAGGGTTTAAAGATTCCCCAGGTAAATTTACATGCAGCCAAGACTTAGAATCATTGTTCTAAGCTCATAAGTAATTATTTAAATAGATATCATTGGTTCAGTGCAGAGGGCATTATTTTCCTCTTTGGTCTTGGTTACTATTTACTATA